GGCTCGCAGAAGCGCGAGCGCTGGTTGTTGTATAGAAGCCTCCATACGGCGCAAGATGCTTGAATTGCGACGATGACGTCGGACGCCGCCGCGAGCACCGCCTGCCACGGAACGAGTGCGTTCTTGCTCGAGGATGTACACACCATGGAACGCACCCAGACCATCGTCGCCTGCAGTGCGACGGGCGCTGCCAAAAGGTTGCCTAGATGGCATGCAATCGCGTGCTGCTGCCGCGCCAGGGGTACGCGCGCGAACATCAAGAGGGTCTGGCGCGACGAGCAGCTGCACGAAGAGGCAGGGCGCGTCGCCTCGACGGCCTCAATCTACATTCCAGCGACGACCAATGCACGCCTTTCAGAGCAGCGCGTTGAACGCTGCTTGAGTCTTGTGCTTCCGGATCCGCAGCCCTGCTCGTTTGGAACTCGATCTGAAAAGGATTGGCTGAATTGTTAATTATTTTAGCCAATCACAGAACTTGTTTCACACACGACGTCGTCTGAAATAGTGTGAGCACCATTCAGCACATCAACGAGTAGCAGCCCACAGACGCGCCAGCGCCACGTAGCAGCCAGGTATACCTCTCCATACACTTCTTGAATGGCGTACATGTTGTTTCCGACGTTGTACGTAGCGCAAAAATGCTGGAATCCATTTCTTATTTTTGGAGGTGGCGACACAATTGCCCAAATACTCTACGTGATATCGCGGGATTCCAAAGCTCCAAGGACCCTAATTATGGCTGCCACAGTTGGTGATGGGTCTCAACTTGGTGTGCGACCAGCTTGTTGGTCGCCGTCGTTGCTTGGGTACTCACACCAAACTCGAACTGCCGAGCGTCGGTTTTCACGAAATTCGACATACAATTTCGGTTGACAATGCGTCGATGTCGCGGAAACCGAGGACGCCATCTCTTTCTATTTATGTTAAAGAGCGTGTTGCATGTGCCCGAGGGAGGCAATGTGCGCACGATACCGCTGCGTGATGAGGCCTTGTGTCCCGTACAGTATTTCAGTATAGCGAAAACGCACACTATATGTATCAAAATATGTTTCTGTTGTCATTTGCTCTCGCTACAGAGCTCGCACGGTGACGCCACATAGCATTTTGGACTCCCCAAAGTGTGGTTTAGCACTCTGGCAAGTATGGGCGATTTCATTTTCAAACATCATTCTGGTCGATCTCCCGACGTGGCGAGCATGCGCCACCCCAAAATATGGCTATTTGCGGTAGTAAATGGCGAACGCCAATAAAAACGGGAAAGACGAAAATTTAGTGTTGCCAGTGTGTGTATCTCTCTATTCCAGCAGCAACAACGGTAACCTCAAGCCAAATAGTACGCGATTTTCTATTACGGCGGTACCAAGCCGACTCGTTCATCAACACCGTCCAAGAGCAGCACATTGTTGTGCAGGTGGGACTCGACGACGCGGTGTCGTCCGCATCGCGTCCATGCCGCGTCGCTTAGCTTCGTAGACCACTGAGCATTGGGTTGGAGAAGCGCAAGCGCGTGTTGGTCATCGCAAACAAGTCGCCACACGGCGCAGGACGCGTGGAGTGCAACGACGCCGCCACACGCGTAACGAGCGCCGCGAGCAACGACTGCCACTGGACGAGTGCGCTGCCCACCGGCGCCCACGCCATGTGACGCACCCAGCGCGTCGTCGCCAGCCGTACGACGGGCGCCGCCAAGAGGTCGGCAAGGATCGCATGCAGTCGCGTGCTGGTGCTGAGCTCGATGCGGCCATCTTCGAAGGTCGCCAAAACTTCAACGAGCGGCCCGACCGCTCCTCGGGTCGTCATCCTTGCCTGCATGCGGATGTGACACGTCATCTGTCATTGCTGGTTGCATAGCGCGCCGCAAGCTCGCCTCGATGTCGTCGCGGCGTGCTATCGCCGATCGTCCCAATCATCTCGATGTCGCTCAAGAATAAACTTGAGATGACTGTTCCGGGAAGCGAGGGCAGTTGAGGCGACTGCGTGCACACTGTAGTAGTAGCCAAGGGTACCAAAAAAAAGGTAGAATATTGTCTTATTCCCGTGCTGGTAGCGGGGGTACAATGCAGCCAGCCTCGCGGCGCCATCGCCGGCACCTCGCCACATCAGCTTGCCACGTCATCGTAGAAGCCTACCGGTAACTGTCACACGTGATTGCCCAAACCGACCGAAGCCTCTTGTGGCTCACAAGAGGCTTCCGTCGATTTGGGCGCGCAGAAAGCCACAAGTTGTGGTTTTCTGCGTGCAGTCCACCGACCACCTTCCCGTTGCCTCCGTCGGTGGCGACAAGAGATGGACGGCAACTGCGATACCTCGACCAAAAATTGGTTTTCTCGGAGGACGAGTACCTTCGAGAAGGTCGAAAGTCCCTGCGTAAGAGAGCAAGATAGCGCAGTTGTAACCAGCAGAGCGCTCAAGACCGCCATCGTTTCCGCCATCTTGCGTTCTTGTGGTCGTCGGCGCTTGAGCCGCCATCACGAAATCGCGACATGTTGGGCGTTCTCATCCTCGATGCTGTACACCGGGGTACCTCTTTTTTGGGGCAATGTGCTGACCTGTACACCGGTGTCTTGGGACGAGTGATGGTCGTCTGGACACGGCTTTTGTATGCGCATACAACGATCAAGTACGCCGACGCGAGTCTGCGCAGCTGGCTTATTTCTACAACTGCCCTCGCACGATGGGCGG